GGCCAGGAGTGGAAAAAAATGGGGGTAAATCCTGCAGACCTACTGTTTGTTGTCAGAACATTAATTTCCAGGAATCATCGGTTTTGTGTACTTGAGACATCAACAGAAGGACAAAAAGAAAAACTGGCACACTCACTTAGTCGACAGATGATATTATAAAAAGACTAACATAGCAGTTTGGTCCCCGAAGAAGCATCAGTCCTGAAATGACAAAGGGAATAATCCCATTACTGCTGAAAGGAAACAATGATTTATAAAGGAACACTTTAAAAGCCGGGGGGAGGGCAGGAATATTGGGAAATGTAATCAGGTCACGACTGATCCAAGTGTGGCACAGCTCTCATATCATCTGACCAGTTTCCTCTTCTGTAACACACTGGCTCATATGCGTGTAAGTCTTTTCATACAAATGTGAGCAACATGACTCTTAAAATAAAAGTGCAAGTCAGAGAAAAGGAATTCCTCTGAAAGACGAAAGAGTAGGTGTTCCCCTGCTGCGGGTTAGTCAGTCAGATCTGATCACAGTCTGAGCTCTTTAGCACACAAAGAGAGCTGGGTGTGTCTCATCTTGTTAAACTGCAAGTACTGGTAAGGCTGGTTATGGCGGTTCCATAGGAACCAAAGATTCGGCGGATAAGGGTTAGGGTTAGAGCAGAGGTGTGACAGGTTTGTTACAAGTTCAGCTGCAGGTTTATAACTACAGAGACACGTTCACACACTGAGCACTGACAGCTATGTGGAGGTGGCCTGTGTGTGTTCACTGTGCCAGCCCCGGTCATTTTAGTTACCTAAAACTAAAAACAAAAACTAGATGGGGAGAAAAGACTTTAATGAACTAAAATAAAAATTAAAAATAAACCTTTGAAAAAAATATTTTGTGAGCTTGGAAAAGGTGAATCACAAAAAAGAAATTACCTACTGTCTTAAATACATTCCTTCCAATAAAATAATAATAATAATAATAATAATAATAATAATAATAATAATAATAATAATACAAACTACACTAAAACAAGAGAATCCACCCTGGAAAATAACTTCAACTAAACCGAATTAAATACAAAAACAAATCAAAATAAAAACTAATTAGAAAAATACGAAAACTATAACGACTTTGGCTACAAAATACTAATAATAAATACAAATAATAATAATAATAATAATAATAATAACAACAACAATAATAATAAAAATCAACTAAAACCACTTTGCCTGATCAGGAGATGAGGAAGTGATCCCTGAAACTAAACCGTACAGGTACACCTACCTCATCACTGCTGGAAGATTTGCCTCCATGCTTCTTCTCCTTTTTCTTTTTCTCCTTCTTCTCACCATGTTCCTTGCTGTGAGACTTGTCCTTATGCTTGTCCTTGTCCTTATGCTTGTCCTTGTCCTTGTCCTTATGCTTGTCCTTGTCCTTGTCCTTATGCTTGTCCTTACTTCCAGACTTGTCTTTGCTGCCTTCCTAAAAATATACAAAGTTTACAATTAATAAATAGGTTTTTTTATGTCGGGATTATTGTAGTTAATCAAAAGTAAGGAAATACGAGAAAAACCGGTTTACAAGAGGAGATGTCAATTCTCGTCGCCGTGTTTATGCAACTCCCATCCATAGCGCACATTTTGTTCTGGAAAGCGAATTAAAAGTCTTACCTTGTCCTTATCTTTGTTCTTGCCCCAGGGCAAATTGAGTTCATCTTTCTGTGCTTCCTCCTTCTTTATCTCCTCGTCCTTACCCGCAGCTGCCAAAGACAAAGATGGGACAGGGTTTTAAGGATCATGTCTCCACATATCGCAATATGGAGCGCAAAACCTGTTCGCAGGTTTTGCGCGAACAAAAGCGCAAAATCTTCGAACAACAGAAGAGTGCAGCTAAAGAAAAAAAACACGTAAAGCTGCAATATATTTTTACCTTCTGACAGATCGAAACTCATTGTGACTATTACTTATGCGCCTCTTCTCTCCGATTCCGAAACAGACTCTGTCAGCGAGCTCTCGCTGCTACTACTTTTCAGGAAATCTGGAGTGACCGACCGCACCTAAGTCACGTGTTCAACACCGCACCACGCCCCGCAAACGCAGTTCGTTCTTGCGGTGAGGTGAGAGGGAGACGTTGTGAGGTAGTATTATATTTCTTATTTGTGCGTATTTGATACATAACCTTGCTCGCTGGCCTGTCCACCGTCCACCTGCTTCTCCCACATCAGCTGCGATAAGCTCCAGCCCTCCTACCATCCTCACCATGAACTTGATAAGCGGAAGAAAATGAATTGGATTGGATGTAATATACTTTGTTCCTCTGTTTTTCGACAGAGGATCTAAGAAGAAGCTCCGTTTAATTTATGTGGGGTAAAACACCAGCTGTGTTTAAGCACAGCAAGCCACATGGGTGCTTTCTGACATGGTTCCAGTGTTTAGGATTCTTGTGAACACAGTATGCTTTCTACTGTTGAAAGTGTAAGATTGCTGGTTTCATTTAATTTCCGGTTGTTACAGCCTTTACTAGATCACCTTAGTTTTCTAAGAAGCTTGGAAAGAAAAGTGTCTGGACTTCTTTAAGCTTCCTTGAAAATATTTCACCTCTCATCCGAGAAGCTTCTTCAGTTCTAAGAGCAATTGGGGGAGAGTCTCAGATTTGAAGCCATATGGGCTCTTAGAACTGAAGAAGCTTCTCGGATGAGAGGCGAAACTTGTCTAGACGCTTTTCTTTCCATCTCCACGATGACCTGGATGACTGAGAACCTTCACAGACATCTCCATTGTTTGTTTGTTTGTTTTTTTGTTTGTTTGTTTTGTGCGTGTGTGTGTGGTTCTGTGTTTTGGGGGGCTCATAAATTCATCCTTACCCTAGTCTTCAGAGTTGTTGTTTACTTTTCATGGGGCTGTGGATGCCTGTTTATGACTTACTGTTTAAGCAGTACTTGTGAATTCTTGGACTTTATTTAGCTCTGGTTTTTATTACCTTGCACAAGTAAAAGTTTGATAGGAGGGCGGTTGGTGTGGACACCTAAGTTTATGCATCTTGTGAATAAAAAAAAAACTTGAGAACAAGGCGATTTTCTAATTGAAATGTGAGTGTGTCTACTGGGAGGCTGAGAGGTAGCACTGGTGGTTTCCAGTATTTGTTTGAGGTTCTTATTCCTCCTTTTTAGATCTTTGTGATCCCTCTATGTTTTCCTTCTGTTTTATGTCTTTGAATAGCTCTCTGTCTTGTTCTTTATTTTCCATCCATCCATCGATTCGCGTCCGCTTATCCTGTTCAGGGTCGCAGGGGGCGCTGGAGCCTATCCCAGCTGTCATAGGGCGAGAGGCAGGGTACACCCTGGACAGGTCGCCAGTCTGTCGCAGGGCCAACACACAGAGACAGACAACCATTCGCACTCACATTCACACCTATGGGCAATTTGGATTAACCAATTAACCTATCCCCACTAAGTGCATGTCTTTGGACAGTGGGAGGAAGCCGGAGTACCCGGAGGGAACCCACGCAAACATGGGGAGAACATGCAAACTCCACACAGAAAGACCCCGGCCTGATGGTGGAATTGAACTAGTGCGGCAACAGTGCTAACCACCGTGCCACCGTGCTGCCCTTGTTCTTTATTTTATCATGAATTTTACTTTGCGTTACTTCCTGTTTTTACTTTTCTTTTACTTCCTGTCTGTCTCACCTGGATTTCCCTGATTGTTTTCACCAGCATGTGATTGCTTGCACCTGTGTCCTGGCCCATTTTGATATTTGACAGCAGTAAACACACACAAACACACAAACACTGTTCCAGTCAGGTTGGCCCATATCAACAAGGCCAATTCTAAATAACATTGTTTAAATATAAATAAAAACAGAATGCAGTGATTTGTAAATCTCATGAAATATACCATAAAAACATTTCAAATGTTTGAAATAAGATAATTCACCATTTTAAAGAAAATATCAGCCCGTTTGAAATTTGATGGCATCACCACATCTCAAAAAGGTTGGGACAGGGTCATGTTTACCGCTGTGTAGCAGTGAACTGAGTCGTGATAACAAGCCGGATAGTCCCTCTCCTCTTTATTTCAAGGATGCAACAGTGTCCATGTTTTTCAAAATGACTTAAAAATTTGGATTATTCTGACTACAGAATAGTTTTCAATTCTTCCATGATCTTTTAAAGAAGAGGTAGATCATGTTCATATATGTCTTCTTCTTTGGATGATAGAGCTTTAACCTGCAATTGTGGATGGCACAGTGAACTGTGCTCACAGACAATGATTTCTGGAAGTGGTCCTGAGCCTGTGCAGTGATTTCCATGACCTGTAGTTATGTCACATGCTATAATATTACACATCTAAAACAGAAGATGGCACCAGAGCTTCTGTAACATAAATTTTATGCAATATATTCAGACTTTCTTTCTATATATTCAGGATTCATTTGATTTATTCATTCACTATATTTGAGTTTTAATTCAATATATACAGGCTTTCATTTAATTTATTTGAGGCTAATTCCATGTATAGATACACATACATATTGGAAAGACATATGGCTTGTGCTGCCTTGCTCTTAACTCCATGCAGCAGCAAAAGCCATTGGGTCTGGGGGAACACCTGCGCGTGTCACAACTGTGTCCCACTGTAACATAAATTTGGGCAACCATAATTACTGGGGCACATGGTCCACATGGGTCCAAAAATGACACAGTACAACACACATTTAAAACCATATGCTCAACCTAGTAATCAGTGCAGTGCATACCGCTTTCTATGTCAAGGGGTAACAGAGGTGATCAATTGTGGTTCAGAAATTGAATGGAGTTGCTAAAGAATAAAGCAACTTTTTTTATCTTTTATAATTTGTATTTCCTGACAGTAGTTTAGAGTAGTTACATGTATAAAATATTTACATTGTAATTAACTGTAGATATAGAATTTACTGCTTATAATGAAAGCAGCCTCTAGTAGAAAGTGCTGATGCACCAACTAGTAATAATAACAGCAAACACAAACCACAAACATGAATTCATGCTCTTTTATTTCTCAAACCTTTAACCTTGTTAACGTTGTGATCATAAATTGACATTTCCTCCACCAATTGACAAGTTTACAACTGTCAATTGTAAACTTGTCAATTTTAAAAACACAAATCTTTTCTCTCCAATCAAGCGGTGTATTTATTTTGTAAAATTTACTCCAATGAAATCATGACCCAAGGTAACATCATTAAAGCATTCATGATTACATTTAAGTGCTTCCATTGTGATGCAGGCCAGATTTTGGCTGATAACTAAGATCTATGACATCTTAATATTGGTAAGGTCTGGGCCCTGACAGCAGATCCTTTGAGGTGAAGTGACTAGTGGAGTGTGTCGTGCTGTCTCCAGTCTTCTTCGGGGTGCCCATCAGGCTCTCCATGTAGCTGGGACGTTTAATTACAAGGGATGGCTTGGTGGCAGCTGAAGAACTCACAGGATGCAGCTTCAAGGCAGGAGATGTAAGAGACACATTGGGAGTATCACTTGGCTTGGAGCTGGCAGAAGGTCCACCACCACCTGAGGCTGAAATGCTGGTTTTAGAGTGGCTGCTTTGCTCACCATCAAGGTGGTCCTGGAAATGAACATTAACAATCCATTTTGAACATTTTTAGATTAAAAGCTTTTTTTGTTGTTTCTATTGATTTCACTTCCCGAGGAGCCAAAACTTCGGTAAAAAAGAATAACACTAAAATTATTATTTGTCATTTTTCTTTCATATAATCTGATGATATTAGCATGTTACAGGTCATTTTACCTGTTCCTCCCTTTTCTCACTCTCCTCCTTTTTATTTTCCTTGTCACTGTCACTACCAGAGGAGCCTGAACTGGAGCTTGAGTCCTGCTCAGAGGGGAAGCATTAGAAACTCATCAACTCACAAATATGATTACCAAAATGAGCAGAGACACATTTTTTTCCATCACACAGAGTAGAACTACCTTCTTTTTGTCTTTCTTCTTCTTGTCTTTCTTCTTTTTCTTCTTCTTGTCATCATCACTGCTGGAAGAAGAACCCGAAGAGGAAGTGGAATCCTGGGATGTAAATATGATAGTGAGGTCACACAATCATAAGACGGATAGGAACCAGAGTTTTGAAAATATACAAAGGAGGAGGAGGCAGTGAGTCCACTCTTCTTTACCTTTTTCTTGTCTTTCTTCTTCTTTTTCTTCTTATCCTTCTTCTTCTTCTTCTTTTTCTTCTTATCATCATCACTAGAAGAATCGCTTGAGGAGCTTGATGAAGAAGAAGAATCCTGGACAAAAAACAAGGAACATATTTCATTTAGAGGAATTACAGTAGCTTATAAATAAATAAAGTCAACCTAAAACCTTAAAGTGGATGGCCCCTCACCTTCTTTTTCTTCTTCTTCTTCTTGTCCTTCTTCTTCTTTTTCTAAATACGAAAAAGAAGACTCAATTTAAATTGTGCAATCTTCTATCTTTCATAATTTTGAGTGCGGCAAATGTGTTTGCAAAGACGAAAATGGCAATATTTGTAGATGTTCTTCTCACCTTATCATCATCACTATTGGAGGAAGAAGATGAGCTATCATCAGAAGAGCTAGAATCCTAGAAAGTGCATCAGTCAGTCAGTAACAGAAATACACGATTTTCTGTAAAATATATATTTAGACTTTTTCTAGCCACCTTCTTCTTCTTCTTCTTCTTTGTCTGCTTCTTCTTCTTTTTCTTCTTTTCATCTTCACTATCAGAGGAAGAAGAAGAAGATGAGCTGGAATCCTGTAAAAGAGTTGAACAATTACAAGTTGAATTTATTATTATTAGTATATATTATTATTAGTAGTAGTACTGTTATTAGAGTTCTATATGGGTAGCTGACGATCTTTTACCTTTTTCTTTTTCATTTTCTTCTTTTTGTCCTTCTCTTCCCCTCCTCCTTCATCATCACTCAGGTTGCCATCCTCTTGTACTGTCTCTACTCCCCCTGCTAGACAGGAAACATCATTGCCATCAATACCATTGCCAATGCCATCAATGCTATTTGATCTATGTAAGAGCTAGAGAAGCATACATACCAGCCAATGTAGAGGAGACTTTGCAATCGTCTGAAGTTTGAAGCTGTCATGGGAAAGGAAAGTAACTATTATATTTTTTTCTTCCTGTCATGCCTTTCTATATAAAACCAGGACGTGGTCACCATGATGTGACCACTCCTGTTTGTAGGCTCCCTAAAGCACTGAGTCAGCTGTAAACATTTAATTTTTCTCAACATGGGGAGAAACCAAGGACACTGAAAACTCCTGTGGAATCATCTTTTCAATGAAGCAACAAACTCCAGAGCAAGAAAAATTAAACAAAAAAAAAACTGTAGGTCTTCTGTTAGCCACTTGAGGCTGATCCCAAAAACCTGTCAGCTCCATTAATCTCTCTCAAGCTTTTGTCTCTTGTGCACCGTCATCTTTAGCTATCCCGGTACTTCTTATCTAGGCTAGCAACTTGACAGCCACACAATAAATTTGCACTGAACCATTCTCAGCTTTATCATCTTTTCTGAGTCCAACAGGGCAATCATAATATATAAAAGGAACATCATGCAGTCCTTACTTAAACCTGAAACTGGCAACCAAGAAAAATGATCAAGAATAAGTTTGCATCGGCTTCATTTTTTTAGAGCCAGGAGCTGTCGCTCTTTTGTTTGCACGTATTGAGTTTGTGCATGCAGGTGTAGTGTCAAAACATATGCGTGAGCAAATATTTCACCTTGCCAGGAACCTTTTCATCTGGTCCTGGAATCACACCACCTACAAAAATGGAGAAAAGGCAACCAAAAGGATCAACATAATGTAAATGTTTGGCTACTGTGATTTATATTACTGTGCACAAGAGCAAGTAGAAAACACTCACCTGCTGCTGACAGAACAATATCGCTCTGCTCTTCATCCTGAAAGAAGACACAGAAGCACACGCACACAGTTAAGCTAAAAAAATAAACTTCACAAACTTTCAAAATGATAAAAGCTGAGTTGTTAGGAATCATTTCCTGATAGTGAAAAGCCAGTGAGAGGGCAAATGTGTTCACTGTGGGCGGGTTATCACAGAGCAACAGAACTGATGCTTTTATTAAACACAAACACAAGTTACTTTACTTTTTTCTCATCGTCCTCCTTCTTCTTGTCTTTTTTCTTTTTCTCCTTGTCACTGTCAGAAGATGAGGATGAAGAGCTGGAATCCTGCATTAAGGAAAAGAAACATCATTCATCTTGTTGTTTAAATAAAGAAATGAAACCCCTATGGTAAGGTTTCTTCTTCATTGTTCATGCCTGGATACTGACTGTATATTTTGTAATGTCATATGAATGTAAGAGGACAACAAACATCCACATCTGTTTTACCTTTTTCTTGTCCTTCTTTTTCTTCTTCTTCTTGTCCTTTTTCTTCTTCTTCTTTTTCTTCTTCTCATCCTCACTATCAGAAGAAGAAGAAGAAGAAGAAGAGGAGCTATTTGAGCTGCAGTCCTGTGGAAAAATGAATATATTTAAAACAAAATATCATCAATGAACTGTGATACAGAAATAGAGAAATTAGTCAGTTGAAAATTAAGAACCTCAGGCATTACCTTCTTCTTTTTCTTCTTCTTGTCCTTTTTCTTCTTCTTTTTCTTCTTGTCATCCTCGCTGTCAGAAGAAGATGAAGAAGAGGAGCTATCTGAGCTGGAGTCCTGTGGAAAAAAAATGAATATATTTAAAACAAAATATCATCAATGAACTGTGATACAGAAATAGAGAAATTAGTCAGTTGAAAATTAAGAACCTCAGGCATTACCTTCTTCTTTTTCTTCTTCTTGTCCTTTTTCTTCTTCTTTTTCTTCTTGTCATCCTCGCTGTCAGAAGAAGATGAAGAAGAGGAGCTATCTGAGCTGGAGTCCTGTGGAAAAACAAATGTATTTAAAACAAAAAAGTCTTAATGAACTTTTAAACACAAGTGAAATAGAAAGATTAGTCACTTGAAAATTAAGACGCTTGGACAATACCTTCTTCTTTTTCTTTTTCTTGTCCTTTTTCTTCTTCTTTTTTTTCATCTTGTCATCCTCACTGTCAGAAGAGGATGAAGAAGAAGAGCTATCAGAAGACGAGGAGCTGGAGTCCTGTGAAAGGAAAAAAATATAGTTAACACACAAAAATCTCTTTAATAAATGAGTTTTAACACAGAAGTAAAATACATTATTCACTTGAAAATTAAGAAACACGGGGAATACCTTCTTCTTTTTCTTCTTCTTCTTGTCTTTTTTCTTCTTCTTTTTCTTCTTGTCATCCTCGCTATCAGAAGAAGAGGAGCTGGAGTCCTGTGAGAAAGGAATAAAAAGTATTCACATAAAATCTATTTCTGTCTGCACATTAACACAGACACATCAGGCAGACAGACACATCATAGTGATGTTCATACCTTCTTCTTCTTTTTCTTCTTCTTCTTCTTGTCATCTTCACTGTCAGAAGATGAAGAAGAGCTAGATTGCTGTGAGAAAGGAATAAAAAAGTATTAAGTATAAATCATTCTCTGTCTTTTTCCTCAGAGTTACATACATGTGGTGACAATGGTGAGTTTCACACCTTCTTCTTCTTTTTCTTCTTCTTCTTCTTTTCGTCCTCACTGTCAGATGATGAACTATCAGATGATGAGGAAGAAGATTCCTAGGACAGAGGACGTATAATACATATTCATTAACATAGTCTACCTTTGTCTCTGTCATTTGTCATTTATGGTATGTTGAAATTTGATAGTCTTATTAAACAATTAGTCGTCGTAAAATTTGCCAGTTTTGGAGGGGAAATTAAACCCACTTTCTTCTTCTTTTCCTTCTTCTTCTTCTTTTCCTTCTTCTTGTCATCCTCGTCATCTGATGAGCTAAAATCCTGAGACAAATAAAAAAAAATTACAATGATAAGTTTGGAATGTTTTGATGTATTGTGCTTTGTTTTTCACACAACCGAGTGGTTTGGTGGATCGGTACACAGGACCTATATGATTGATTCAAATTAAGAATTTTTTTCTCTGCTAAACATGTACGGCATGTAAATTATGGTATGCAATACATTTCTCATGAATCTGATGAAATCCTGATGAAAAAACATGTTGGTCGATTAATAAAGCTGTTCTTTATACCACAGGTGTTACTGGAGCGTCGACCTCTTTAGCAATGCAATGTATAAAATTACAGACTTGAGTTGTTTCTCACCTGACCAAGATCGTCTGCATGTTTTATTTGGCCATTGGAACCTGCTAAGATTGAATGCAACAAAATGCAATGCATTAGTTTAATCATTCTGGAAACAAAAAGACATTTTGTTATGTAAACAGCTGGTCTACTATGATCACAGAATGTGGGGTTGTAGGATGGTTTAGGACATGTTGTTATAAAGGGGATCTAGACACAGCCCCCATTCTGGCTTTGTGAGCTGACCTCAGCACTACTCCACGATAACCCAATGAATGTTCAGTATCTGTTTGTGAACGGCAAATTAAACAAACTAGCCGTTTGATTTAATTGAAATTTCAGGTTCATCGAGCGAACGCTGCAAAGCAGAAATCAAGATCAAACTGTCATCGTGAAATAGCGTAGATCACCTACCAGCCTGAGATATGACGACACTGTCGTGGATATACTCTTTCTCCTTGTCTTTTTTCTTCTTCTTTTCCTTCTCCTTTTTCTTCTTCTTCTTTTTCTTTTCATCCTGCCAGGAAACATTGAACAGCAGTTGTTTCGTAAATGCATTTTTATTTCGCGTGTATTCATGCAGTGTTGCATTTGTATTAATAAAAAAGACTCGGGAGAAGGATTCAAAATCAGACATCAAAACCAACTCACAGTATGCACATCCACGCATAACCATGCATGAGCAGTGATGCATGGAAGCATGCACACAACTGATATGTTACTGTATTCTCATGATAAGACACATAACTTTCTCAGACACAACTCATGGGTAGCTGGATGAGATCCAAAAGATATCATTGTTAATGGGCGTGTTCCTCTCACATAGTTTGTCATTTCAGATCAGGACATTAAAGTCTATCGCCTGTTGAGAAATCATTTCTGCTGCTCTGTATACTTATTTTTGAGACCTTCTACTTCAGTAAGTTAAATAAAGTCACAATAAAGCTCATCAGTTGTTAAGTCCTATCCGAGGTGACCCACTAGGTGGTTAACTGGTTGTTGCTTTGTGTCTTTGACCTTTGTCTTTTTATCTTAAAATCATGCAATAGCAAAATAACTGGCTTTTCCTGAGTCTCCAGTCTTTACACCCACATCATGTCATCATATGACTGCAGTCATCTAAAAGTTGCAAAATTGGAAAACTAGACAAAACTGGAATTGCGAGTCATTGTGTGCTCCTTGAGTTATTTTAAGAGCTGAAATTGACAAGAGCAGGGAGAAGACTGGCGTGCTTATCTATCAGTTTGCTGAGAGACAGGATAAAAATGCAGTTTTTAGATTCAATCCACCCTAAATATTCACTGAACAGACAACATCTTTAGACAGTATCCTCACTGGAGGCAGATACATAATTAAATGGGACAATCAATCCCATGTGAGCCGATTTGAAATTGTGCTTCCAGCCAAGGACTTTGTATAGCTGCTTTTCGTAAGGATTTACATAAACAACACTGCAAAACTCTCTAAGTGTTTGGAAGGGTATTCACATAAGCAAACATCAATTAATGACTGTAAGCAATGTTGTCATGACTAAGTCATGTAATGGCAGCACCTGGTAAATGACAGGTTAGAGCAGGCATGGAGCTGCAAGGGAGTCATGTTTTTCTACTTGGTAATAAGCACATACAGAAGCTACATGTGAGCAATAAAACCCTGGCTTCTCCTAAAACCTGAATCTATTAATAAAGGTGAAAATTCTAATGAAAACAGACCAGTCACATGATCACAGAAATTACACACTTATTCAGATTTATTACATTAGAATTGAAGGCTCTAGATCAGCCATCAATCATTACAACTTACTTCTGTCGAGGGTCTGCTGTTGTGTTTGACTTTGTGTCTCATGTGTCAACATACAGAGAACAAAAGCGCTCTGGACAGCCCTCACAAAACGCTTTTGGATGCCTGACCTTAGCAGGAGCTTTTAAAAAAGGCTCTCAAAGACCCATCACAGGATCTGTGGTTAGGTGTAAATGTGTGTGTCATGCATGTGGGTGTGCGGGTAAAACTGCTTTGTCACTTTATCAGCAAAACTACAATTTACCAATAAACACAAAGTGCTCTGCACGGATGCATCAGCAACATTTTGGTGCACACTTTTGCTCGCACTGACTAGTTAAAAATGCCCCAGTGTTACAAGTGGTGTGTGACAAACTGTGACCTCCATATCAAATATGGTTGGAAATAACACGAGGCATTCAGTCTGAAAGTTGAAGTGGCTGTTCGAGAAGTGTTTTTCTTCCATGGCTCCACATGTGAAGATCGCATTTATTTCGATTTCTGTTGAACAAATAATTTTCCTCTTGAAACCCTGATCAGCACATGCCAATCTGCAACTTACCTCACTATCACTGTCTGAGGAGCTACTGGAGGAAGATGAAGATGAAGAAGAGGAGGAGCTGGAGCTCTGTTAAGAAAGAAGGAGAATATTAGTGCTTAATTTTACGTACAGAAGTTTATGTAAACAATCTTTTGTTTATGAAACGATACATGAGAAGGAATGAGCCATGGCCAACACGCCCCAGTGAGTTTCTGTCATACGAGGGCAAGTTGTGTCTGTGACTGCATATGGGAGAGGCCCTTCAGGCACTTGGCAACACACATAAAGGAAAACTCCACAAACAAGCACACATGCACACACCTATCCCTGCTATGTCATTAACCACTTGTGCAAAAAGCGACAGTTGAGCCACACATGGAACAAACGATTCTCTCCTGTTTGACTGTACTCCACTCCTCTGTAAGAAGCTGTAACTCATGATTTCAGCACCACATGTGCTCCCGTCAGGACAACACCTTAAGAAAACTGCTGGGTTAACTTAGCAGATACCAGAAAATATTTACAAACAAAAAATTCCAAATACAATCAATACCGTTTTCATCTGCAGTTCACTTCACTGAACTCTGTCACACTTACTTTCTTCTTCTTCTTTTTCACCTTCTTTTTCTTCTTTTCTTTCTTGCCGATACCCTCATCTTCGCTGTCTGGAGAGCTGTCAAGTGAATACATCTCCTGGTAAACACAAGAGAGGAGAAAGTAGATGTGTTATCTTCAGTGGGGATATTGAGCCTGTGAACAGAGCTGCTTTAATTGCTTCACTGTCATTAGATAATGGAGAAGTCACAACGTGTGTGCTTTGTTTCTCCTGCTCACCTCATCTCCTGTTCCTGCAGGTTTCCCGATCTGAGTCTTGTCTCCCTGCGTCTTGGCCAGCTCCGCAGGCCCTTCTACTTCAGCCGGGGGCTGCGAACCGCCAGAGGGCAACGCTGCAGGCTCGACCCCTGCAGTGTCTCCTCCACCTGCAGTTAAACAATTCAGGTGAGCAGTGTTACAAATATCTGCCTGAAAGACATCAATTTTTCTGAACGCTCAACTAATGAGTAATCTGTATAGACAAACATCTGTCTTATCAGCCTATTTTTAACATGCACTTTTAATAAAATATTAAAATAAATAAAAAACACATATGACAGCATCATATGCCAGGACGTCCTCGTTATCCAACTTTCTTAAAAGGACAGCCAGGTTAAAACAAAGAAATTAAAAATCAGTCATCAACACTAAAACTGTGCCTGCATATACTTTATAGTTGGCTATAAATCAGTGAATACTCTAATAATTAACAATTTGGGGAAGTGCCACACCCCTGACAGCAGGAGAAAGGTTTAAAAAGAGCCTGCTGTCTACAAATACGAAGCGGTAGGAGTGCATCAGCTGCAATCTCCCTGCAGCGGTTATTCTGCACATTTAAAAAGGCATTATCCAAAAATAAATACATTTAATCCACACTTTTCAAACTGTAAAAGAAAAAAAAGAAACAAGGCAGTTAACAAATAGCAAACCTTTGAGGAGGGTGGACTCCATTTTGGTCCAGTTCTCTCCTCTGTCCAGGAGTCCAGGTCTCATCTGACAAAGCCACCTGATCACATTTATAACAAGGTGTGGGTGTGTGGAGCCCTGGGGTGGAGAAACAGGGAGGGCCAAAAGCAGAAACTTCCCCACATCAGTTTCAAAATAAAGGTCACTATAAAAGAAAGTCACCAATCAGTTCTGACTGTTATCTTTTTTTTGTACCCACTACTTATTTTTCACCACGAAAAGTTCACGGCTGTCTTTTAAGAGGATAGCTGATTATCTGATCTAATTCTCTAAATTGTATTTATTTGCCTCAGTCTTATTCAGAAAGCTGCTTACATACATTGTATTTGACTGTCACCATCTGTTTGTGTTAGTTACTTAGCTTGAAAGGCTGGTTTACCTGTGCAAACAGGTGGTGCTAGTTTTATGACTGGAATGTAGCCTGTGGGCATTATCTGCATGAATTAAAACATTTAGAAAGTGTTGCAGAAGGAGGATTACCATTGCTCTAGCAGGTCAAAGCAGGGAATTATCAAAAAAAAATGTAACTATCCATGATTCCAAAATGTAGGAATAGGTTTAGGGGAATAAAGCTCTTTGCCTTTAATGTGGAGCATTAAAGGAAAAAATAGAAAGAGAGAGAGAAGTGATTTAATCATGTTGCTGCTATGTCGCCTCCTAGAGGAGGATCATGGTTAACTTAAAACATTCTGCTAAGCAGGGGTGTTCCTGGGCCACATACAATCTTTTTGATCTGGAGTGAGAAAAATAAAAATAAACTGAGAAACATTATTTAAAAAGGAAGGATTTGTGTTATTAAAATTTTATTAAAGTGCAACAAAGTGCATTCTGAAGATGTTTAAATGCTTAGAAAAACTAAAACCATGAGTCCAAATGCAATTTGCCCCATTCAAAGTTTTGCCAAATGCTAGAATGCAGTAAAATGCAATAGTGCTTTCCGAAAGTCTTTCAAAGGTTTTTTCCCACCCATTTTCAGTCCAGTCCTTGTACAGACCCTTTTTAGAAGTTTCTTTTTAAACCCACTTAACGCTGAGCTGGGAATTATTCAAGCATAAAAAATATACCTGAGCATTTAATGCCCTTCAAGAGGCCCGGAGAAGAATAGGCAATGTAAGAAATGACAAGAAAGCTTGGCTAAGAGAGTTCAGGCTGTTGTAAAGAATAAAAGTGTTCATCTCAAATATTGACTTTCATATATGTTATTATCATACAAAGTCTTTTTGCCTTATATACTTTTTTTCCATGGATATTTGGAAATCTTCAATAAACCAATAAAGTGAGACGTGGCTCAGAGGACTGTAAGGACTTACTGCAATTTTCACACTTTGCAGTTAGTCAGCGGGACAACACAGGCCCTTTCACTGGTCCCCGAGCCGCGTGTTTGATACCTCTGAATCTGTTTCTTCGTCACTTCCGTAGTACAACTGGTCAGTGAAGTTAGCTAAAAAGGCTACAGGCTTGAGATCCGGAAATGGGGGCTTATGGGGGCTTAAATAAGAGCGAAATGAAGTCCCACAATACCACTTGAAGATTAAAAAATAATAATCAAAATACATTTTAAATATATATATAAATAAATTCCTCTTGAATACAACTAATGTGTGGAAAGAGAAGCAACTTTAGGTAAGGTCAACGGAAGACAGCAGGTTTATTTTGAAATTTATCCGGAAGAAGTTACGGCGTGTAGCTGTATCTTAGGTTGTATACCAAACTCTGGCGAAGGATAGAAATACGCTTTCTTTTATTTACGTTTTTTGTGTTTTAAATCACGAGTTTGTCAGTCTAGTTTAACTTCATAATGTAGAGGAGCTAGCTAACGCTCGTTTGCTAGCGGAAAGCCGGCACAGAGGGACGGTTACTTTGTTGACCCTCATCCGCACGTCTTACCGCTCTTTGGTCATGTTTCTGTACCCAACACATTTTCTGTTTTGGGGCATTTTAAAGGGTCACTTCTTCGGCCACTCTGTACGTGGAGGACCTACGGTGCGCTATGACTTCTAGCTAAACTCGACTGACTGGTCGTCGTCATGCCGAGAGAAGCGACGTCCGCTCCGCTGACGGTGACTGTGCTCGCAGTGCTGTGGGTCAGTGTGGGTCGGTGCCATGTCTTCGGATCTCTGGGGCAAGGATGTGATAATGGAAAGGTAACAGTCTCACTACCTGTGTGTGTCTGCTGGTGTAAATGAAATCCATGTTTTAAGTCATATGGTTTCTAACCTAGTATTGGTGATTAAAATGCACTTATTTTACGTGTGTGTGTGTGTGTGTGTGTGTGTGTGTGTGTGTGTGTGTGTGTGTGTGAGATAGCTCTCTTTGGAGAGGGACCTGCCTGCGGATGCTGTTTATTGGGACTGTGCTGCGTCTGCATGGCCAGAGTTTACTCAGGTAAACATGGAAATTCATACACCTTAGTCTAACAAATTAACACCATAATCACTGTGGCTCATATGGGAGGGGTGTGGTGCACTTACACCGGTTGCCAGGAAATGCAAACAATCATATGAATGAGACTGTTGTGATAAACCCTGCACACACAGCAAATGAGCTGTGTGTGCAAATGAGCAAATTCGACCCACTTCGAATCACCTTGCGGCTTCACACTGTTACATATGTAACAGTGTGTAGTTAGTTGTTGGGGTTGCTTTGTTCCCAGATTACAAGTGTTCCTTCTAATTCCTCTTTTCAGAGACTTCCGAGTATTGACACAGCGTACAATCCTGAGGTGAGTAAACACCAGGCAGTTTACTTAAGAATCTCATATCTGGACTTTTTACGCAACCTTTGGCCCTCTAAACATAAAGCATGACTTGGTTATCTCCTAAAATCAAAGTGCAACTGGATAACACTTCAAACAAGTCCCATTCACAGTTCACTAAATTTGAACCCAATTCATTCTTTTATTTTCTTAACCATTTTTTCCTCATGTACTGTCCTGAGGGAGCTGAAGCCTCTCGCAGCTGACATTTGAAACCAGTACATATATTAGCTCAAAAGCTTTACCAAGCAAGTGTGTTAGTTGCAACAAGATTCAGTTTGAGTTAACCAAACCAGCTTTTTTGCTTAGTAAAAGTAATTTGTATGAAATTTACTAGAAGCTAACTAAGTGTTTGCCTTGTGTGCTTGATGTTTTCATTTCAGCCAGCTAGGCAGATATGCATGGATAAATCTATCTCCTACTATCACCGCATTCCTAACAGGTGAGTGTACAGGTTGGATGAGTAAGTTCACTAGAGCTGCAGAATACCTTACTGGATGGCCATACAATTAGTTCTGTTTTTACAAAGAGCTGACAGATACACAAGCTTAGTATTGTCACAAAAAGCATTGTTTTACTACATTAAAGCAAGCAACACACTGGCCACTTTATGAGGTACACATTGGTAATACCGAGTTTGACCTCTTTTGGCTTCAGAACTACCTTAATTCTCTAGAATGGTGTAGATTCAACAAGGTGCTGCACACGTTCCTCAGTATTTGGTCCATATAGACATGATAGCATCACACAGTTGCTATAGATTTTTCAACTGAACATCAGTGTGTTGGCTCTCTTGTTCCAACACTGTATTTTTTCATCTGTAGGCATGAAAAGATGAAGAAAAATATTGAAGAAAAAAATCCTGATTGAGGTTGTCATAATTCATGCATGACAGGGTTAAATAACAATAATTACAATGAAACATGTCATACATCTATAGTAACATTAAACGACCAGTGGGTGGCAGGGTATGGAGTGACACATCAGTGTCCAATGTAGTGGTTTATGTGCAATTATACCATCAACACTGACAGAAATACAAGAAAACAGCCTTTGAAAGGTGTCCACTAGTGACCACTATGCGTGAAAGGGTTAAGGCTTTTGAAGACATTAACCTGTGTTTCTGTGTCGGTGTTTGTGTTGCAGTGGAGCATACAGACCAATAGGAGCAGAGAGTGGAGAGTACTTGTACTGTCCTCCTCAGCGGTGGCTCAATAACTTGCAGGTTAGTTGCACTATTGCACATGGTTTGCTGCTGCCTCTGCCTTTGTATCTTCTGAAACATCAGTTTGTCTGTTCATCGGAGAGATATGTGCATCATGTGTATTCTGTGTAAACTGAGCCTTTTTGCAGTACTTTCAGGACATGTGTTTTTCAGCACTCAGTCACATCCACCTTGAGGCCATACTTTATTGATTGACTTACTTTTTCCCCCCCTCCGCTAGTGTATTGCGTTTAAGCTTATAGTAACAACCTGTTAATTTGGGGGGCGCATTTTCAGTTAGTTTGCAAAACTGTTTTAACAACAAGCAGCGGATCACTTAGAACCAACAGTTAGGAAACCTTTATTCTCACCTCACTGAACTACAACAAAATTATGAGTATCACTGTTTTGTGCATTAAAGTTCATTAAAGCACACAGTACACCATAACTCACAGCTATACAAATACTAGTGTTTAACAACTAACAGAGTAACTTTATACTGCTAAATAAAAACCACCCTAAACACACCTCCCTATGGTTAATCATCACCGTGACAGTGCACTCGTAGTGTTATACAGTGTGCGTTCTTTTTGTGTTTTTAATTCTAGCCCTGTGTGTATTAACATTAAAAAAGGGGGGATTGCTGACAGCAATAAAAAAAACCTGGACAGACATACTGGTAGCAGAACAGCATTTTCTACAAGGGAGGAGCTAACTGTAAAATGAGAGAAAATGCAGAGTTTTTAGATAAAGTGTTTTGACCTGTCAATGTGGCGAAGGCATCCTGTACCTTTAGCAGAAAAACAGTCCCAAAGCATAAAGTTTCCACCTCTGTGCTTGACTGTGGGGATGGTGATCTTTGGCTCAGGATCAAAACTCTTCGCATTTAATAGAGAGAAACTGTCATTTTGTCATGAAGCATCTATAGCCATACCATGAATAACAATAGCAGGACTGGAGTATTTCTTTGTTTTTCGTTCCTCGATCCATCCTTTTCTTAATCTAGGTTAGGGTATTATACATTCATAACTATGGCCAATTTAAAATCACCCATTAACAAAACAAGCACATTTCAGCATTTACTTATTTAACTTTTTTAATCACAGCAAACATTTTTAATTGTAACAGTATGGAAAATGTGTATAGTTTGTACGGCCCGCACCAAACAGGTGGCCTCTCCTAAAAGGAAGGCAGCCACCATTATTACACCTGTGCCTTCTCTATGGTGACAAGTAAAAATGTGTAGTGGGAAGGTCAGTCACCTACCTGTTTTTGGTTTCTGCTTTAGGAAGGAACGCTTGTAAAATCCGAATACAGTAGATAAAAGCACAGAGGAATCGGGCGTTGACAGTTGACAGTAGAACACACACCTAATTCTTGAGTTACAAATTAGCCTTTATAAGATTCCAAGCTGAAACTCATGTTCATATCAAACTGCAGTCGAGACACGGTGTGTAGTTTTAAGTGCAGCTTAAGAGTAAACCAGGCAAGTGTACCAGCAGTTATTTTCTATGTGTTTGGACCCTTGGTAGGAGGGTTGACACAGACTATGAATTTTCCTTGAAAGTCACAGATTTGGCCTCCTGCAGTAATATGCCAGCATATAATGTGGATCACAGCTAGTTCTCAGCTATCGTTCTCCACAGAGAGAACATCGACCAATAGGAATATTGATTTTTTTTTTTTAAAGCAACATTAGAAGGACTAATCAGAAAATGTTATGTTGATACAATGTTTATGTTGTTATAAGCACTTGAGTACATAGATGTTAATTAATCATAGAATGCTGCAGTAATGGTGGATAATGGGGAGATTCTGGTCACACGTGCGGTGTTCTGTGTTTTGTAGCGTGGAGCGGCGGTTTTGCTCTACCATCCGTGTGCACCACCTCGCGAGCGTCAGATCCTGTCCGACTTGGCTCGCTCCTGTCTGCAGTCCTACATCACGACCCCACACCCACAGCTCAATAAACACATGGTAAGAAACACTTTCATCAACCTTTGTTTTCATCAGAATTTGTTGGACTTCTGGGATGTTAAACACGGATGCTTGTTAGATTTAATACCATTTCAGATTGGAACTCGGGATCTCGGAGAGAGACAAGATGCAAAAGCATTGTTTGCTTTAAGAAGACTGTTGAGGGTGTTGTCCTGTCATTGAACTGTCAGTTATTCGTTAAAAAGGGCCTTTTTAAGAGCACTCAGGCAGATGGTCTTGTACTTCATGGCATCATGAAGTACAAGATAAGTTTTTAGCCTCTGGGAGAAAGGAAATTTACCGAATGTGTTTTCTCTGCTCTGTGCTCAGCCTGTAGCTTTTGTGTCCTGGGGTCGCACCTTGGAGCTGTCCACCGCCGCGTCTTTAGACCTCTGTGATTGGCTGGAGGTCAATCACAGAGGTCAGACTTCAAGAAAAGAGTCTGATGGTGTGACGCAGATGAGGAAGTATGCCCTGCTGCTGACCTGGTCAGCAGAGCTGCATCAGCTAGAACAAACAATAAAAATGAAGGTTAGGAAACATGACTCAAGATTGAGCTAGCTTTGTTGAGTTGTGTGATGTTTTTTAACGTACAGACTAGTAAATAAATGAGTAATTTCAGTTGTCTGATATAACTAACATTGCAGGATTCCCTGAGGCAGTGTTGTGAGCGGACCATCTATTCTCTGTTAAGCGGAGCTACAGAGGCTGAACTAGAGCACAGCGTGAAGACCGAACGCTCAAAACAAACAAAAGTGGGAAGCAAAACCAGGCAGATGAGAGCTGCCCTGAAAGTTGTTGACAGCAATGAGAGCAATAACACTATGGCAAATGTCTCCAGAACTGTTCCTCAGCGGTCAGGAGATGGTCAGAATAACAGCAGCACGCTTGGATCATCAGCAGATCAGAGGAAACCCTTTGATCTTTCTAGCTCCAGAGAAGCTCCTCAGGTTCCAACTCAAGCCTCTAAACCCAGGCTCACGGCTCCCTTGGCCTTAAATATCTCTGAGACAGAAGCACAGAAAGGCCTCAGAAAACTGAACCACTCTCCTGTTTCTGCACATGGTGTGAGCAGTAAACGCACCTTTACCGACAGGCCTGAAGCCCTGATTCTCAAGGAAACAGACTCTATTAAACAGAATACCAAAGTGGACAAGTCTAAAGAGAAAATCTTCGACTCATCTGACGGCAACATGGAGGATAATGAAGTGGTAGATGTAAAGGAGAGAGAGCTGGAGCATACGCAGATCCAATGCGCCCCAGGATCTCACCAAAAAAGTGAAAGCACTGGCTCCGACTCTGTGCCTAAACCCCAGTCAGAGGCTCAGGCACAACAGCATCCACAGACAGCCAGCCACAGCCAGCCTATCAGCCGTGACTGCAACAGCTGCGCACCAGGTGAACACTGTGACTGTGTCAAGGCCTCGGGATCAGAGGCCCAAGCTGCTGCTGCTGTTGTATGTAGAGAGCTGCAAAGGACCCCGAGGACGGACGAAGCGGCGTGGGCAGCAGCGGCACTAGGCTTCCTGCTGGTTCTCCTGACTCTGTCAGTGCTTCACACTCGCCTGTACCGCCACTGGAGGATCACGCCGAGCCTTTACTGGCACAACCCAAGCGACGACTATGACAGCGTTGCAGGTAACATCATCAGGGATGAAGAATAGAGCTGTTATGCCCTAATTAAATTAGAATTTTTCTGAAAGATACACATTCTCTTTTAGGTGGAGCTTACAAGCCAAGCTTATTCCTGTTATGTTTTTTCTTCCAGATGTGATCCGCAGAAGGTTGCGAATTGCAAAGAGAAGGCGGAAAAGGGGCAGAAGGCAAGAATGTGTTCTCCTGCCGAGCTCCTCCAGCTCAGATGAATGTCCGTAGAACTGAAAGAAACACCCCCAACACTGTTTGGGAAGAGGGGACCTGAAGGAAAAGAAAAAGGGTGTGTTATGTATGTTGGACTCGTCTTACATGTAGCTGTCTTACACCTACGGTGTGCAGTTTATCTGAGAGAACCTAAATGTTGTAAATTACACACACTGTAGCAGCCCTACAACCACAATGAACAGGCTCATAGGAATTTGACAGAGGACCCACCATGTCATATTTTTAACATGTCAATATTTTTTTAATTGAAAGGACAAAAATGTTTTATCCAAAAGAACGGTTAACTTATAACCAGCCATTCCCCAAATAGTTCCCGAAACTCTTAAGCTTTAAAAATGTTTTCATAATTAGTTTTACAGAAATGTTTTTTAACTGTAAAGGTTTGATATGCGAAATGTAAGTTGCTGTTGTAAGCAACGCTATGTTTGTGTTGTCATACAAACATGTGAATAGCTGCATTCTGGAGATGTGATTGTGTGATTTGTAAAGAGTGAGTCTACAGGTACTTTGATTAAAATTAAAACTGTAAAGTTAGAACATCCAGATCAGTAATGGATGTGTGTGGGGGGAAAACAAAATGATCCGGTCTTTTTGAAGGAGGAGGAGAAGAGAACGTGAGTTGAACTGTGAGGATCCAGAGCACAATGGGAGGCAGAGTGAAAAGTTTTTGCTGAATGATCTCAAATGTACTTTTGCAGTTCCCATCATAGACGCCTCAAAAATTACGGGGTTTAGTCAGATTGTGTACTTAAAATGGTCCATTAGCTTGCTGATGTGGCATTGCACATTTACCAGTTCAAAATAATAAAAAGCATAAAGGGTCCACTTTAAGTGCAAGAGGGTCAGGTTTTGTTTTTGTTGTTCCCCCAAACACTTGTTGATGTAAACTTGCTACAGCTGTGGCTCAATGTTGATATGTAAACAACTTTTGAAGGTAGAACTATTACTCAATACTTTTTAAAATTACCTTAAAAAAAAAAAAAGTATAAACATGTGTAAAGGCAATTACATTAAATATTAAATTTGGGCAAAAACAAAGCTGACAACAACATGAAATAATGACATGCTTTACTTTCCAGAAAAAGCAGAAATTTAGCTTTAAATTACTGCTTACTTTGCCCGCATACACGTGCAGATTAGCACCATCTGCAGCGGTTTTTGCCTTACGACATCATTTCCATCAGGATCATCTGCTGTCAACAGTGAAAGGCTCGAGTATCATCTCAACTGAAACGCTCCTTGCACATGTACTAACAATTCCTATATAGGGGGAAAACCATTTAGTAAGAAAAAGAAATGCAGGCAAACCCTGGACAATTAAATTGTTTTATTATTTTATTACAAATGTACAGCTTATGAGTTTCCATTACGATTGACCTTTTTAAGTCGTTGTTTTCCCTACTTTACAGTTCTTAATTGTCTTCTGTTAAAAGATAACTCTCCCATCTCCCAAACTGTCGAGCTGTGAAGACACACAGGAATGCGACAGCACAGGCTACAGTGCACTGTCACGGCTGAGAATCTGATGTGTGTGTGCATGCGTGTGTGTGTTAAAGTCTGGCTGAAGAGTCAATGTTTGTACCTGTGCATGGCTTGGTCCAACCGATAAGGGTGAGTGTCTGATGTTGTCTATGTGCTAAATTCTGAACAGAATGAAGGCATATAAAGTCTGCAAAGTGTGACAAAACTGACACAAGCATTAAACATTCACACTAGAGGCACCCTATGTAGTGTCCACTAACTCAGAGGAGGACTGGGCCATGTGCGTTTTTAAGACACCCCCCCCTCCCCTCCTCGTGATCTTTTGAGATGACTGTAGTGTTAAGCCCAAGTGTGCTTCAGACCATACCCCCACCCATATTTCCATATGCCAACTCCAATCCTGCACCCAATGTACTTGAGCTAAGACCTTTGGGAGAGTGCAGTAAATACTGCAGATCCTACGTCATCCAGCAGGTGTTTTGAAAAAATAGTGCAACTAAGATCAAAGGAGACACGTTGTCATTCCCATCTTCCCATGGATACGAGCAGGATCGTTAATATGTACAATATGACTACATAGTAACACCACACCGTAACCTCAAAACATTCGAACAACTGCAAGTACATCAGGTGCCGAGACTTAAGAGGTGAGCAAGGACTTGGTGAACAGAGGTCATGGCCTGAAGCCCATTTAGGCCAACAAATATATAAATATCTCACAAACAAAAACTACAGCTTAATATAAAATATAGCATGAAAAATATACGTTCATATATATATTTATATATATATATATGGCTCTAGACTAAAACATGGGCAATCATGATTAAAGGGGACACGTTTTTCTTGCTGGCCCCCTGTGTGTGTGTGTGTGTGTGTGTGTGTGTGTGTGTGTGTGTATAAGTGTGGTAGTATTTCTGTTGTATCAGCAGTCAGTACGAGATCACCGCAACTCAGCCAGTCATACAAGAGATGATGATGACGATGTGCAAAGGCATTCAATATTAAACAATGATACATTTCAAGAGTTTTTCAACGCACAGTCCAAGTTTCCCTCCCATGCAGAGACATGTGTGCAACTATGTCAAAGACTGAGGGGACATGGACTGAAATCCCACGTAGTGATCAGAGTAAAAGATTTAAAAAATATATATATAAACCATAAAATATTGGGGGGGGGGGAGTGGACAGAAATGATGAGGCATTACCTCAAGGTGTTTGGAGCCGATTTGTCATCTTGTGGGGAAAAACAAAAAGGCAGCAATACAAGACAAACTGAGATGCAACTGTAGTTTGATCCTTCAGTGTTTCAGGTGAGTAACTGAACGCTGAGATTACACAAAAGAGCGAGGTGAGGAAATCTCTCTGTTACTGAGGAAACCAGCTGCGGGAGCACTGGTGAAGGTTTTAGAGTAGAATCTTAACTTTAAAAAAGGAAAAGGGAGAGAGAGAGAAAAAAAAAAAGAGGACAGTCCTCCCAGAAGTTCCCAACGTGTTTACAGATATGACCATTTTTGTTCGGCACAGTACGCGACTGACATAAGTCGGTTGAACTGCACTGAGTTTTGTTCCCAACGCTGTCTGCAGAAAGGCAGATGGCTAAAAAGAGACAACTTCTGTGGCCCAGATCAGCAGGCTGTGACAGAAAACTGCTCGCAGGCTTCCACAGAAGCTTGTCAAACAGTCTCAAGGGTAAAAAAAACAAACAAAAAAAAACAACAACATAATAATACTTGGCAAACTAAATCAAGTGCACCTCAGAATGATATCTGTGATCCTGGTTGCCAGATCTGGTGCTTTTGTTTTTTCTCCACAGGTCTACTTTTAAAGCTCAACTCCCAACACACCAGTGTGTCCGCTTAATGACACTCAACAGTTACCAAGTAAAGCACCCGTGCCACATAAGCACTTTTTGAGGAAGACTGGGGCTTAATCCTCCATGTGGAAACCAGATGTTCTTATTATTCTGCTTGGCACTGCGAAAAAATGATTACGAAGGTGATTCTGAGATGATTCCACTGGCTCTGGTAATGAGGCGAACAGTAAGAGAAATCAAGCGCAAAGAAAGAGAGGAGGAAAAAAGACAGCTGAGGACATGAAGGAGGAGCAGTTGTGATCCTGGTCCTGTCATAATACACCATGCCTTTGGCAACCGTTCAAGACCCCACAGCCATAAGATGTATATATCACATGAAGGAAAATGTAATAAAAACTCAACTGTCTTTGAAAAGGAGCGCTTGAGAAATGTCGAGGACCTTTTTTTCACAGGCTGATTCGTGTGTTTGTTTGTTTGTGTGCATGTAGACTTAAATCCCAGTAAGAGGTTAACACATACTCCCACCTGTCTCCATATTCAACTAAATGAGACAAGGAAAAAAAACATACATAAAATAAAAAATGACAGTCAGTAAAATTATCAATACAAAGCAAAAACAATAGGCAAGAAAAACAACAACAACAATAAATCACAATTATTCCAGTGTAAGGGTTTTTGTTTCTGTAAGTCAGTAAAAAAAAAAAAAAAAAGTATTTCTGTCAGACCGAACAGACCTGCACATTCAAAAGGCAAAAAAAGGAGAGGAAAGAAAGGAAAACATGCCAGATCATGCTGTGTACCACCAAAAGAAAGGGAAGGTGATGGGTTTAATAATAAAAAAAAACAAAAAAAAAAAAAAACCTGGAGCCCCTCCTGTAAATGCTTACCCCCATGTGGAAGGAAGTGTGGGAATCAGACTGAGTGGGCTGCAGGTCCTTCTCTGCACTGGACGCTCATCCAGCCTGGGACAGCGTGGGGGTGCGGGGTCCCTCTTCTTTAGAGAGAGGAAAGAAGAGGAGGAAGGACAACCCGATTCCTCGTAAGGACGGAGGGACGGCGATGGCGTGGAGGCTGTTCTATCTACTTCTCTCTCGGAGCATACGCTGCCTCCCTCCCGAAGCGGGAGAAGGAGGGACGATGAGTTACAAGTGAGAATAAATAAAGCAGTCTATGACACGTATGCTCGTCACAGTTTGAGCAGTTTATGGTACACATCCCATTCCAACAGTCTGCTAAGGTCCCTGCGGGCTGTGGTTCCCATGTTGGCTCCTTCCTTTCGTCCTTCCCTACTTTCGCTTCCACGCCTGTGGAATTTTTTTCCATTCACTGTAGTGTTTCTATCATACAAACGTCCTCTGCTTTGCTTCCATCCAAATCTCTTCCTTTCTCTTTTCTCTTCCTCATGTCAGCCTTGCTCCCCCGTCACTTCAATTCCTTACCCTTCATCCTGTAGTGTGATCGTACTCCCCTCCCACCCCCTGCCCCTCCCTCTTTCTCCCTCTCCCGGAAGCCCCCTCCCATCCCACTTTAAACCGCACATGCACTGATCCTCTCTCTTTCTTTTGTCGGGTCACTGTTTCTTCTCACGAGTGGTGATTGTGACCAGTTGCTTGGCAGCCTTGGCGATGTCGTAGGCGCACTGGATGACCTGCTGAGTGAGAAGCTGGTAGTCTACTGCAGGAGCGCCAGGCTCCGAAGGCGCCGCCTTACGGCACTCCACCTGCAGTCGTGAGGCACTGGAAGCCAACAGGCGGAGAGAACAGTGGACTGCATCCAGTGCTGGTCGCTGCAGACAGATGGAAGCAATCAAAAAAGAAAAAAGAAGATGTAGATGTAGATGAGAGACACAGTGTGAGAAATAAAACATAAGGACGGGGCACTTACTTTGGGGAAGAGTGAAGCCATCTCTGTGACAGCAGAGTGGATCTTCTCAGAACACGGCACAAAACTGAAAAGAGAAGTGATTCTTTAACTGAAGAGTCAAATGAGTCAAGGACTGTGCAACAGCACTAATGCAGGTGAGCAGGCGAGGTTCCTGCAACGACTCCTGTGGTAAAGAGGGAGCTGGTGTCCAGGAAGCAAAGTTTATCAAACTGGGAGTTTGAGTGACTCACGTTAAAGGTGGGTAAAAAAAGAAAAAGTCACACAGCAAATCTTTAATTTTTAACGAGATTTAAATCGATTTCTTAACACCAGCCGTATTTATCAATAGAAAGGTTTAGTGTGCTGTAATTAAATAAAACAAAAGAGTTGAAACTGAGGAGAAACACTGCATTAGCCTCAAACTACAATAACTGCATTCTTTCCTTATTACACCTATCGTCATTGGCCCTTGGTAACCCTGGTGACCGTAAGTATGAGACTGCAAATACAAGCACCCACAACATTGTGAAGAGATTATATTTCTTATGTGGCTTCCTCTAGTAAAAGCTGGAAAATATTGCTAGCGTAACAGTTCAGCCTACTGCTGCTGGAGTTAACAACTACATTCTCACTGTGCAGCTGTCGACTATCATTCACATCAGAGTTTACCATTTAAAAATGGAGATTAAGGTGCTGTCTATGTCTATCAGACATGTGCTGCTTTGCATTAACCTGACGGCACCTGAGCACTTGAGTGCACCCTGCTCATTCTCCTGGAAAAGTCATGAAGGGTAAACTTAGGTTAGGGGACACAGCACCAGTATAAACTTCATGCAGTCACATGATCTCCTGTGTCTATGAGCTGCTCAGCTCTTTTCTAATTTACAGTAAGACTACTTAAAGTAGCTTTTTGGTGGTTTTGGTGCATTTTCACCATTTCTGACCCAGGGGGAGATTTTATTTAAACCGTTTACAGTTTTTATACATGGTCTTATATTTCCACCCCGAGTATACTCTTGTTTCTGTCCTCTGTCTTTCTTTCACATCTTTGTGATTCGGCCTCTCATAATGTCAACATCAACTGATTGTGAATTGCTATGATCTGATTTGATATTGGGGGGGTTTTCTTATTGAAATCAAGAAAAAAATAAGCATAACATTAGCTTAACTCAATGTCTGACAGGCTGGTTGTAAGACACAATTAGATTTGTAATTTTTATGTATTTTATTTTAAGATGCAAAGGACTGTGCCACCATTTTTTCACCTACCTGTCGTGTTTGAACTCCTGAGCGGCCCTGAGCAGCTCCTGGATGTTCTTAGTCACCTGCTCAGTCTTCAGTATGACGTCCTCTGTGCAGGGTAAGGTGGGGTCTGGCTCACCCCCCTCCCCACCCTCCTCAGGTTCCCCACGGCCTTCCTCTTCACTGCTGCGGCCCATACTGGATAGGGAAATGCATTACCCGCGCAACAATTAAAACCTCAGATCGAGGACCGTAGTGTGGCAATATGTCAACAGCTTGTGCCCCTCGTTTCTTACTAAAAACTGCTACCTCCACATTTGTGTTATAAGTAATTGAAAACAGTTTCTGTGAATCCATTTAAAAAATAAGATCATTAGAAAAGTAGAAAAGTTGGTTTTAGAAAGCTAGGAAATCTTTCAGATTTACATTCAAACACTGACCTTACTGAGGCGTCGTACAGTTGTGTGTTGTCGTAGTCGCTGTCGGTGCCACTGCCGTGCTTCTCTGGTTTAGGGACCTGGAAGAAAAACACAGCAGGAACTAAATAATCACCACACATCATGTCCTGTAAGTATACCTCCTCAATCAAAATTCTAATTTTCATTTGTTTCCATGTAATTGAGATGGTTTCCACTGATGTCCATTAAATGGGACAGATATTACACTACATTTAGTATGTGGGTAATTCTAATGGGATGAGGGATATTCTGTGATTGAATCTCAGGATTAGGGCCAACAGCAACAGACCCATGAGACGCTGGTTTGGATAAAACAATGTAAGCCAATAATCTCAACTTTCTGAATGCATTAAGTGGAGGATCATAAAAAGAAATGAAGAGCCAAAACAGCAGCAGCTCACCATGTATCTACCCATCTCTGCAGATCCAGACAGATATGGACTCCCTGAGCCGCCCTTCCTTACCTGGGAAGACAAAGGGAACACAAGGATAGAGAGAGGATGAGAGAGAGATGGAGGAGCATGGGTGAGGCCAGAAAGAAGAGTAAAAAGAAATTGAAATATTAGCAGAAAGAGACAGATGATGAAATGAGCAGGGGGGGAAAGAAGCGTGGGGACATAGAGAAGAAGTTTTCTTTTTAAATAAACAGCAGGAAAACAAGGCAAACGAGTCAGTGAGAGCAGCACTGAACAACTCAACGGCCCATCATCTTTTTCTACACTACATGCCTCGCTGCTTATCTAACAGGAAGCAAACATACTGTCAACTAATCTAGCTTCTTCTGCTTGACTTACACACGGCACACAACATCTAAAAAGAGACTACCCACACTCAATACTAATGTTGATCTCTGAAAAACAGAATGCATTATTACATACTGTGAGATAATACTACAAACTCAAAGACGAAATGGCAAACAATGCAATGACAGACAGAATGCTTACATCCAGAGGATGCACGGCTGCACTGCAGTGAGCAAAGAACGGACAGGTGAAGAAACAGACAGACAGAAAACAGACAAACAGGTAAATCTCTGTGTGAAGAAACAGTCACCAACTTGGTGCGGCGGTGAGATGTGTCTGCATTCTGTAACTCTATTAA